AGAGCTATATCTATACCATCCACATCACAAACATAGTTATATTTTCCAAAATCGTATAATTGATTTACAGTCACAGAATACAATAGCTTCTCTTTATCCAAAATAATCATATATGACACCTGATCTAATTTAATCATAATTTGTGTGGCTTAGGGGGTTGATCAAGGCCTTGATAATAAACAGATGTGGAACTTTCATTAAAGCTGATCCCTTTTCCTCAAATTCATTGTAGGTACACCAATAGAAAATAAACATTTTCAGATCTTAAAGGGCTAAATCTGTAATTTTGGGACATCCTTGCAATTTGTCCTATTTCAAGTACAATTTGATGCAGATAATGAAAAAAAAATGTACTAGTGACTCCATCTCTACTGCAATTTTCCTGAAATTCGTAAGTTTGAGATCTCACTAGTCACTACAGCATTGTTCGGCACAAATTCAAGGTCCCAAACTTTCTTAATGATATGTATAATCTTTTACTTCTCATAAAAACTACTTTTGATTGATATTTTCTATTCGTACAGTTAAATATCATCCAAGAAAATCTAAACAATTCCAAATTGCAGGTGTTCTAAATCCCATGTCCAAGAATTCTAGGTCTCGATGTATCATATCTTAGACATGTACCCGTAACGGGTATTATAGGTATAGCAAAAATTTGAATCTTGATGTCTATCTCAGGAAAATATCTTAATTTCTTAAATTTACAGTCCACATATTCCATCTTAACTCTGCCCTTTGCTTCTAAAATATGTCTCAACTTTTATATTTCCACAGATGACTTCTTGTATTACTTACGATAAGACTAATGTACCCAAAATACAGACCACATCATTTGGGAGCCTTGTATATCTTCACTTAGTGGCAACTGCTGGTCTAACCTCCTTTATACTTATGATAATAATCCAACCATGTGCTATAGGTCTCCTTGTGGTACCTCTAAATTCTAACTTCTTAGAAGTACATAGCATTGAGTGCTTTCTCATCTTATATGCTTACAAGAACTCAAAATAATTATCAGGCTATCTTGAACTCCCTCCATCCCAAAAATATTTCCTATTTGACTTTGGTGTGAAGAGAAAGTTTTTCCAAATAACTACAACTTAAATATCACATATCAAACCCTAACACTTGTGGAAAGGTTCAGATTACCTCCAGTGTAGGAAAAAAAAAAACTGTTATAGAATTTTGTACATATTGCCAATGGGGTGTGTTTTATAGAGGTAAGAGAAAAACCCGAATGTTTCCATAACCATGAAGCTCCTCAATTACCAAATATATACACATCTGATATTAACATAAGGGAATTATAGCATGTGTCGAAGACTCTCGTGAGCTCTTTAGCAAGCACTACCCAATCAATTGGAAAGGGATAATATTGACAGGCAAGTTTGCCTGCCTTGAGGCATTTGAATGCAGCAGCCTCCTTTAAACACTATTAGTACTCCCTCAATCCCCACTAGGAAATTTGCAGTCCCCTCACATCAAATCAATAATTACTATAATGATGCTCCCCTCAAACCCTTCTTATGCCATACGATCAAAGGTTACATCGGTCTACCAATCACTTCAACATATCAAACCTTTAGCTTTCACAATAGGAGTCAAGTTTCTCATATGTATCAGATGATAGTATACAATTATCAAAGCTATAAATTCAACAATAATGCTTGTAAGTCTCTATTATTAGATGATAAGTCAATGGTCTATTCATAAACTTACAGTCAACACAAAGCAATCATAACATAATTCCTTGTACAATATACCAATCAAAGAACATCAAACACAAAATAGTTTCAAATAGCTTTATACAATAAAAACATCATACATTTCCTTCCTCCCCAATTAAATAGGAAAGCAAAAGCTACCTGTTCAATGTCCCTTTCCCCGGGGCCGCCCCTCGTCGAATCACCCATCTACGTTGCGAAATCCAGCGTTGTTGTGATCGTCCCAGCCTTGTTCTACCCATTTGAACCAATCCAAAAACGACTAATAATGCTAAACCTGAAATTCAGTGACTCAACTTCTAACCCCATGAAAAAACAATGCCAATTCTCCAAACCATTATCGCTTCTCTTCCTCAAAATTTGTGCAATCCATCATCAAATTCATCTTCATCATTATATAACCTCAAAACGCATTGTTCTCAAGCTCATTTACTCCTCTAAAACCCCAAATACTCAAAAATAACCCCAAAATATGCAAAATTAAGCCACAAAATCAGCTCTTACAACTCTATATCCCCCCAAATGAACCCTAATTATTCGAATTGCCTCAAATAATCAACTCACACAAAATCAAACTTGTTAAAAATTCAAAAAATGGCTCCAAATTACCTCAATCAAAACCAAAAAAAATCCACCTAAAATCCCCAAAAATGCTCCAAAACTAATCGAAGAAATCTTCAATTGCCGCCCCCAATTTGACTTCGGAGCTCCAAAAAATTCAAGAAATCGTCAAAAATGGTGACTAAATCCCGATCAAAAACAGAGAAAATTCTACAAAATCTAAGGATTACAAAACGTAACGCATGAATTCTCAATCTCTCTCTCTCTCTAAATTGAGAAGGAAGGAGAACAAATTCTTGAATGCGTTGAGTAATTTTCTCTCTCCTCCCTCCCCTTTCCTGCAACAAATGTGACAAGAACAAGGCAACGACGCTTTGAAGTGTTGAATTTTTTGTTATTTTTTTAAAGTTGAAGGGTGCCACGTAAGATACCTGGAGTTTTATTGGACTTCTCCCAGGCTATATTTATGTTGTCTTTACATTTACGAAGTAGGCCCAATTTAAGATTTTTGGGCCCACTTTTTATGCTTTTCTTTTGTTTTGTGGGGTGCTGTGTTAGTGTGTTACTGTAGAGGTTGTGTTTTCCCGCTTGTCTTTCAAGTTTATGTCATAAACTCACGTGATCCTACATTTTCAGGGGGTGCTCCCTAAGGCCAAAGTAGAGGGTCTTGTTCTTTTCCCTCATTTTTGTTATTGAAGGCGTTAAAAAGTGACCTGATCTGAAAATAATTTAGGACTCCGTATTACGTATGATTCAATTTATAAAGATATTCTATTTGAATGGACTTTCGACCCTGGCTTGAATATCTAAATTGCCAGACTCTAATTGAATAGTGATCCAATACGAATTTAATTTGAAATTTGCAAGTATGAGACTCGAATATGACATGTGGCTTAGAGTTGATATGACTGCTATATAGCTTAAATTTTATTGACTAGAAGTTTAAATTTGAACTCAATTTAAACCCTGGAATAACCCAAACCAGAATTTTATACGTAGAATTGTAGAAACTCAAATTTAACATGATTTCCCAAATATGATTTTGAAGCTTTGAAACCCGAATTTAACCAGATTTATTCTAATCCAATTTGAATTCAATCAAACCTGCTACTAATTTGACTTACATTCAACCTAACCTTTTTTAGGTCCAACCGAGCTCAACTCAAAGATATGTTAACAACTTAGCTTGTAATCAATGTAGCTCGAGTACACTTGACAAATTGACCCAATCCAAATTTGACTTGAACCTAAAATAACCTGCTAAAAACATATACTAGTGCCAAACTTGAACTGAGCCACTTACGATTGGAATTGTATCATCCCGATTGAAATTTGACTAGACTTCAAATCCGACACAAACAATATAGGACGGATGACCAATCCGAACATAACCCCATCGCCTAACTCGCATAGATATATAAGTCCATTAACCCGACATACTTGGAACTTGAATTTGGCCTAACCTCACATACATTGACTTGACCCAAACATCCGAATTGGTAGTTGTTGCATTACATGCACACGGCGATATAATGGTGATGATGATGAATGAGCAAAATTTTGATATTAGTCTTGAATTTTTAACTTCAAAGGCTTTAAGCAAAAGAAACTATCAGCGGTGCAGGGCCTGTTCACTTCAGCTTAATTTCAGCCGAGTTCACTTCAGCTCCAATCTATTCAGTTCCTAATTTCCTTCTCTCATAAAATTTTTAGTTCAGTTTAACTCCAATCAGTTCGGCCAGTTCAGCTTAGTTGAGTGAGTTAGAGCTTTATTCTATAAGAAACTGAAATTTTGTAAGTTTATGTTTGAGTATGTAATTAAAGTTGTTTTTAAGGGATGAAAAAAGTATAAGGTACTAAAGGTGATGAAGATTTTGTTTCAATAAAATGTTAATAACAATTTTTTTGTCAGTTTTTTTCACTCTAGACTAAATAGCTAGGAAACTTTAGACATCATTTTATAATAATTCGTATTAGCTACGAGTAGACCTGGTTATTGGGCGGGTTGGGTCAGGGTCGGTTGCGGGTCAAGGTTAAAGAGGGTCAAATTTTATAGGGTCAATATAGGGTCGGGTCAATGCGGGTCGCGGGTCGATAATGGGCGGACCTACAAAATATCAATTAAAATAAATATTGGACAAAGCAATTATTAAATACATATGAATACAAATTCATCTATATAAGTATTTTTACATTATGTATTTTCTTTATCAACTAAATTGAAAAAACATGTTGGCCCTATATTGACCCTACCCAATAAGGGCCCTATTCATTAATAGCCCTGTCCATTAAAAGCCCTATAAGCTTGGCCCTGACCCTATTATCATTGGGCTACCATGTTCAATAACCACTTCTAGCTACGAGTATAAATTTAAAATGTTTGAAAGCGTCTGTGTACATCAAAATATCAAAGCTAGTCCAACTATTGTGACTGTTCTTGCCTTCGTTTCCACTTTCCATTATGCAAGAATCTAATATGATAAAATAAAGAAAATAGGTGAATTGACGACCAATGTTATTTGCTCTCTTACTTAATTACTTTGATAATATAGAAGTGTATCTCCACTGGGAAAGTGGGAAATATGTATGTAAATATTATCATTACGAGTTTATAGATAGCTTTGTAAACTTGAATCAACTAGTGAGAGGAAAGAGAGTCTAAAGAATACGAACACATTGAGGAACTCGGTCGAGGCAATTTTGAGGGAAGGGTTTACATGAAGCAATGTCCATACATTAATCAACAATATATATTGTTCCGAACACCTCGCCCCTAAAGATCACAATAAATTGGTTTCCATGGCAAGGAAATCTAACTAGTAGCTACAAATAGAGTAATGTAATTAATAATGTCCATACAACGGAAACGAGTCAGAACCGAGGATTTGATGAGCCACAATGGTACATCCCGTACAACAAAGAAAAAAATAAACGAAGGAAGTATATATTTACATCCAAAACTCAAGGGTGCAACAAAGTTAGTGAAACAAGACATACTGGCTCAACTGGCCGTCGAATCAACTCATGAGAGAGCTAGCCATATCAAAGAGATCAGTAATATCCATTATATTTATTATGAATTTTATGATCCTCTTCAAAAATCATGTAGTGTTTCCTCCTTGCTTTTGCTTCTCTATCAGCCTGCAATCACCAAGATGTTTATGTTACATTTTTAATGCATAATGTTCAAGTTAAACGGAAGATTTCATTGTGATCATACAAATTAAAATTTGACGAATTATTATTTGAAAAGCACCCTTTAGAGATACAGATCTAAAAGAACTCTGTTACACATGCCAAGAACCACTTAAACTGTCAATTCAGAGTGGACTTAACTCTACACTCTAAGATGTGTGCATCATTCTTTCCCTACCTCATCAGATTAGTATTAAGGTGATGGAAAAATCGACCAAAACAAGAAAAAGAAAAACTTTATAAAACCATAGACCTGTTATAAGTAATCCATACTCAATCACCAACCCAAAACCCAAACTCTTCTAAATCACTTGATGTAGTAAATTTGGTCCAACTACACCCTGCCAACAAGCTATTTGTCTAATATTATCTTATCATAATTCACAATAAGCATTTATATGAAAGAACTGAACCAAACCAACACGATCCGAATGACCTAATTGCCTCGTTTAGTAGACCATACTCGCCAGAACAATTGAAGTGAGTGAAAATTGAAGACCAATAGGGGAAAAACTTTTTCTTTTCAAAAAAAAAATTTAAGGATTAAGTACCTTTTTAATGATCCTCTCAAATGCCTCAGTTCCATTTTGTTCAATGTACTTCTCTGCAGCATATAAAATATCATCTTGTTTGCTGAATAAGTTCTTCTTAGGAATATACCACATGGTAGAAGTGGTAATTTGTGGGTTCATATAAAAAGGTCTAATAAAATGTCTATAAACATAAGTTGCTCCATTGAATTGAGGTAGCACCAACCAGCATGTGAAAAAAAGCTTTGCATAACTCCATATAGGAAACCTGAAACATTCAATTCCATGCACGAAATTGGCGTGGTTAGTTGATTAAAGTCATGAGATGGTATCGTGGTACCCAGAATTTAGAATCAAATCTCATCTGCATTATTTTTGTGTCGTGACTCTCTTTATACCAAAAGATATAGGCAAGACTATATAATTGTGTGCGAGTTATTTAATTCTATAGCCTTGTTATGTAGTTATAGACAAATTAGTTTTAAGAAGTAAAAGAGGTTGCTTACCATTCAAGGACTTTGGCAAATGAGAGTTCAAAGATGGTGATTAAGGAATATAACACCCAATAAGTAAGCCATTGTTGATCATCTGACCTTGAACCACTTTCTATGGCTTTGATTGAAGCATATCTAATACATGTCATACAGTGAGATTTTCACGTCATTAGATTATCATCAATAAATAAGTAAACCAGCAATAAGGCAGTACAGTAAGAGTCATTTACGACATGTACCACCATAAGTTTTTGATGCGGGTTTGTTCTCTCCAACTTAGTAAAACTTGTTTCAGTAAAATAAAATTAATTGAAGGAATAATAATAAATAAATTTTTGACAAGTATTAATTCATTTCTTCTTGTAACCTAAACATTATTCATGCTTTAAATTTCTCAACAAGAAAAAAAAAAAAAATCCTTAGTATAAAAAATGACATTATCTCTCTCGTCCCACTCCTATAATTATTTAGTGCTTGCAAAGTAGTAACGTGCAACTTCAGGTGCAAATGTCGCATGAAATCCAAATTATTGGACACTAAAATTTAGTACCAACATATATCAAATCTTTCAACCACCAACACAATATTTTTGTATAGTTTTTCAAAATGCCAACTAATTGTGACACCATTTCTGTCCATCCCAAAATAATGTTGTACAAACAATTTGAAACACTATTTTTTCTCCACAATATTACTGTTTTTACACTTTTAATAGTACCTCCATTTCATATTATTTGCAACGATTAAACATTTTTCCTCTCCAATTTATATCAAATCGTTGCAAATAATAAAAAACGGAGGTAATATGAGCCAAGATATGAAATACTGTAGTAATTATATACTCATATGTACTTAAATTTGTTCTTGTACATTTCATAATCTTCTAATAAGCGAAAAAAAGTCTTTGGTTACACCTACCTTCGTATTGTTCAAACAACACTTACTATCGTTAAACTCACACATTATTATACATTAGTTTACCAACTTATGAACAATTTAACTCAACATTGTACCAAAAAAAACAGAAAGAAAAACAGGAAATTGTTAAGAAGAAGAAAAACTTACAGAGGATAAACAAGAGCAACTAATGGCCTGCAAATATACAATATCAAAATATATATCAGAAATAACTAATTATAACAAAATTGAAAAATTTAAAAACCCTTTTAAAAATATGACTTAGCAAAAACAAAAATTGAATTTAAAACCCTTTAATAAAAAAGACTTACCCTGCAAGAACATCAAAGTTGCTAGCCACAACATAGAGAAAACTATGCTCATTTTTGCCAGATGAACCCATAATTTCCTCTGTTTTCTTTGATTTGAGAAAAATTGTAGTGAGAAAAGAAGAAACTTTTTTTTTTCCTAGAGATTCTCTTCAAAAAATAGTCAAAGTTATCATACTAAAAGCAGTGCATAATAAAAGTGTTGGTAAATTTAGAGTATTGTTTTTTCAAATAGTTTCAGAGTAAAGTGGGACAGTAGCAAAGAAACTTGGAGGAGTGATGTCTGGAGAAAGGAAATTATTTTGTGGAATCACGAAGATCGAGGCACCGAATTTGCGATATTATGTCTTTTTTTGTGGTGTTCGTGCAATGTGTATGAACACAATGCTCAATGTTTAGGGTTTTGTTTCATCTTAGTTTCTTCTTCATTAATTACATTTATCTCTTTCTTGTTGTTTATAGCACGATTTTCAGTAGATATGTAATACACACTAATACAAAATACAAAATATAAATGAACATTTTAATACTCGTTAGTAAAAATTTCAATGTTACTCTCTTTCTTGAAGTGTGTTTAAAACAAAGATGTATACATTACTCGAATGGGTTGATTATAAAGTTACCTTTAGGTAGTAGTGGAAACAAAAACAAATTATTACTCTATAATCTATATACATATATAAATGCATTAGCACTTTTCACATAGTAGTATCTTTATCGTGTGGAAACCAAAATACGACACATTATTGATTAAAGAGTTTTCTATTTAGGAGCTTAAACTTACTCCCTTTGTTGTAAAAACAATATAATAAGCAGTTAAGCACAAAGTTTTAAATGATAAATTATAGTTGGATTATCTATAATAGTACATCGTAGTAATAGCGTTGATATAATGATGAGCATAAGTGAGAAATACTCCGGGTATATATTTGTATTGTTTTAAATGGAATATTAGGTGTGAAAAGAGATGAGGGGATCAGAATAAGTGATGCTGAGCTATGCTCTAATTTAGCCACTTATTATCCGTCCAAAAAAACAAAAAAAAATTTAACCTCTTATTAGCAAGAGAGATGCAAAAGTAAATACAATTTTTTTTTTTTTTTTTTGACATAGTAAATACTTGAATGCATATAATGATATAACTATATAAGCCAACATAATCATTCAATTTGTTAATTAAGCAAACTTTCTTACCTCTTCTATTTTCCTAATATTCGAGGTAAAAGAATATATATATATATATAATTAAGATCCAACAAATATGGTAAAAGACAAATATAATAATTAAACATGTAAATTAAATTTCACATACACAAATAAATAATATAGGCTTACTTGTTAGGCCCTGTTTGATTCACCTTAATTTTGCTAAACTGAAATTATTTTTACTGAACTGAACTTAATTTTACTGAACTGAAATTATTTTTACTGAACTGAAATTATTTTTACTGAACTGAAATTATTTTTACTGATTTTCTATTATAATTCTTCTTTAAGAAAACTGAATTTTACTGAACTGAACTTATTTTTACTGAACTGAAATTATTTTACTGAACTGAACTTATTTTTTACTGAACTGAAATTATTTTTACTTAATATTATTTTTTTAAGGTAAAGAGAACAGGGCCTTACTAAATGAAAGCAATAACCAAAGACCCAAAGTAGTATTTGATTGGTGTACTAGTATCCGATCCTTTTATTGCTACATTGCATATTTCGTGTTTGATTCAAAACTAAAATTAGTTTAGATTTTGGGTTGATTAGGGTATTGAATATTAATGCAATTGTTCTTTTCCTTGTATAGATCGAATTGAATTTCTTAATTTATTTGAGTAATAAAACAAAAAAAAAACATGATTTTCAATCAATAATGAATACTAGTTAAAGTTTTGTATAACAATCCCATTTGCATGTACCCGGTGTACAATATTTTTACTGTACATCGGGTTTTCGTACGTGCTTTTTTTTAAAAAAAAAATCGCAGAATTTCAAATACCTAAAAATAAAAAAAAACGCAGAACAACAATGGAGGAGAGAGAAAGTGAGAAAACGCAGCTATCAATCATCCATTGAGGAGAGAGAAAGTGAGAAATCGCAAAAATTGCAGAAAACGATCATCAATCGAGGAGAAAAAAGGTTAGAAAACGCAAAAATTGCAGAAATCGATCATCAATCGAGGAGAAAAAAGGTGAGAAAACGCACAAATAGAAGAATTCGATCATCAATTAAGGACAAAGAAAGTGAGAAAAATTACAAATTGCAGAATTCGATCATCAATGGAGAATTCGACTTTCGACACAACAAATTGCAGCAATCTCATTCACGAATTGCTACAAAAACAGAGGCAAATTGAGACTGAATTTGAAATCGATTTAAATCGATCGATTATAGAAGAAGAAGAAACTAATTGTTTTGGAGATGAATTCGTACCAATATTCAACAATCCAGACAATGCAGATGAAGCAATCGATAATGCAGATGAAGCAATTGAGAATGCAGAAGACGCAATTCACAATGCAGAAAATCAAGTGGTTCCTGATAAATCAATTGATTCAAATTCAGAACAAACAACCAAATCAGATGCAACTGAAGGTAATTTCTATGAATTTTTGAGATTGTATGCAAAAAGTAACCCTTTGAATACATAATTGTTACCTTTTTCATGCATAAACGTGACCATACTTATGCCTAAATGTTACCCTCAAATTGAATGCAGAACTTTTTAGATTGCATGCAAAAAGTAACCCTTTGAATGCCTAAATGTAAAAGTGACCCTATTTATGCTCAAATGTTACACTCAGATTGTATGCTGAAAATTCAGATTGTATGCAAAAAGTAACCCTTTGAATGCCTAAATGTTACCTTTTTCATGCATAAAAGTTACCCTATTTATGCTCAAATGTTACACTCAGATTGTATGCAAAAAGTAACCCTTTCAATGCCTAAATGTTACCTTTTTCATGCATAAAAGCTACCCTATTTTCAAACGAATGTTACCCTTTTTTTTATGTTGTCTGTGGTTATTATCTGATTTGTTTGTATTAAATAACAGATACAAATCCAATTGATGCTTATGGTTTAGATCTTAGAGGATCATTTGTTGGTGTGGTAAGAGAAACTTTTGAAGAAATTTTGGAATTGTATGAAAACATGCTGCTATATTGGGGTTTTCAATAAGAAAACATACAACTAGATTCAAACAACACACAAAAATAGTAACTGAGAAAAACTATGTGTGTTCTGCTGAGGGAAAGAGACATTCAGGTCAGAAGAAAACAAAGTTAGTTGAAATTGTTGATGAAGAGGATGTAAATGTAAAAACAAGAAAGCCAAGACAAGTATCCATTACAAGATCAAATTGCAAGGCATGCATAAAAGCAAAAGTGAATAAAGAAGGACAGTTTGAGGTGGTGGCTCATGTTATTCAGCATAACCACGAGCTAACAAAGCCACAGTGGCATTATTTGCATCGTTCTGAAAGAAAAATGACAGAGGAAAAAGTTGTAACAATCAAAACAATGAAATCTTCAGGTCTAACTACAATGGACACTTACAATTACATGGCTACAGAGGCTGGAGGAGAACAAAATATAGGCCATAGTGTTGTAGATCACCTGAATTTCTGCTAAGGTTAAGAATGGAACAAATTGAGGCTGGAGATGCTCAAACTTTAGTGAACATTTTAAGTCAGGAACAATTAGAGGATCCAAACTTCTTTTTTAGAGTGAAGTTTGACAAAGAAGGAAGAATTTGCAATATCTTTTGGAGAGATTCAATGATTCTAGAAGACTATAGGATATATGGAGATGTTCTTGTCTTTGATACAAAATACAGAACCAACAGATATAATCTTATATGTGCTCCATTTGTTGGCATAAATAACCACTGGCATAATTGTATGTTTGCTTGTGCTTTTATTGAGGATGAAACGACAGATTCATTTGTGTGGTTACTACAAACCTTCTTCAAAGCTATGGAGGATAGAAAACCAACTTCAATATTCACTGACCAGGACCAAGCAATGGAAAATGCTATACTGGAGGTAAAAGATTTATATTGACATCTTACAGATTTGAGCTATGACAATAAAGTTTTCCTTTTTCACATAAAGTTACCCTTTTAGCTTCATAAAGTTACCCTTTTTAGTGCATAAAGTAACCCTTTTAACAGCATAAAATGACCCCTTTATTTTCAATGCAGGTGATTCCTAATACAAGACATAGACTTTGTATATGGCATTTGGAGCAAAATGCCATAACCAAATTTGGAGCTCTTAAAAAAGACAAAGAATTCAAATTTGCATTCAACCAGTGCTTAAAGATGTGTGTGACAGAACAAGAATTCGAAGCAAAGTGGCAAGCAATGTTGCAAAAATATGAGTTGACAGAACACTCTTGGTACAAAAGAGTGTATGAGTTGAAAGACAAATGGTGTCCTGCCCTTTGTAGAGATTTCTTTTCAGCAGGGATCTTATCGTCACAAAGGAGTGAAAGCACTAATCATGCCATAGGATTCAGAGCAAGTAAAGCAACTACTTTGACAGAATTTTATACCATATTTAAGAAGACAACTAATCGTTGGAGAAGCACAGAGAAATATGATGAGTTTACCTGTAGCAAGTCAATAGCATTCACTTCATTGCCTCTATCTGGAATGCTAAAGCATGCTGCACAGGTAAAAAGTTAACTGACAAGTACATAAATTACACCTAATATATGGCAATTTAAATGAAGCTACATGATTTTGATGTACAGGTTTTCACTTTATCACTCTTTAGAAATTTTGAAGAGGAGTTTGGATACTCTATGGCAACAACTGTTCAAATGTTAGGCAGTAATGAAGAATGCCTACTTTATCAAGTAACACTAGAAGACAAGCCATGGTCTGCACATCAAGTAAACTATATACAAGAGAGCCAAACTGTATGGTGTACTTGCAAAAACTTTGAAGCATCTGGATGGTTATGTTATTATTGCATCAGAATTCTACATTTGCATTCAGTAACAAGAATACCAGACAAGTATGTTTCAAAAAGATGGACTAAGTTTGCAAAAACAGAGGCATGGGATAGGTTGAAGAATCAGGATCCTAAACAGCAATATATTCCATGGAGGCAAACAGTGATGAGGAAATACTACAATCTAATCTTAAAAAGTCAAGAAAATGAAGAGACAAGAGCATTTATGGAAGAAAGCTTCAGAAACAGTCTTAAAATGGTGGAAGACTTACTTGCTAGTGCTGCTTAGAAAGAAAGTGCAGAAGCTGCTTCTAACATTCCTGATGTGGCAGACAACACTCAAAGCAATACTGACGCTTCTTCAGCATCGAGTACAAGCACATGTGTACCAATAATTCTTGATCCTAAAAGGGCTGTAACAAAAGGAAGAAGCAAGAGAGCAAAAGGAGGACTTGAAAAAAACAAGAGAAAAAGAAAACCAGCACTGCCACCTCCAAATTCAGAATTTGGATCAAAGACACCTAACTTACGACTCTTTTAAGATCTTTTTTAGAACATTTTTTTTTTCGAAATTAATATACCTTGTATTGTTAAACTATTTTTCTTTTGTTTTTTTACTCTATGACTAGTTTAATGAAAATGTGATTGACACTTTTATTAGCACATGTTTAATTATTGGAACACATCAACTTATGTTACCCTTTTAACATATAAAAGTAACCCTTTTCATGCATAAAAGTGACCTTTTTCATGCATAAAAGTTATCCTTTCTATCCACTAAATCAACCTTTTCTTTGGCAATAGTTACCCTTTCTGTTAATAAAAGTTAACCCTTTTATCAATAAAAGTTACCCTTTTCATGCATAAAAGTTACACTATCTACCCACAAAAGTATACCTTATCATGTATAAACTTATTATTTCTACCCACAAAAATAACCCTTTTTATGCTACAAAGTAAACCTTTTTATGCATGAAAGTGACCTTTTTCATGCATAAAAGTTATCCTTTCTATCCACTAAATCAACCTTTTCTTTGGTAATAGTTACCCTTTCTGTTAATAAAAGTTACCCTTTTTATCACTAAAAGTTATCCTTTTCATGCATAAAACCCCTGGCCCTTTTATTTTACAGAAAAAAGTGTCCCTTTTCATGAATAAAAGTGATCCTTTTTCTACATAAAAGTGACCCTTTTCATTGCTAAAATTACCATTTCTAACAATAAAATCTACCTTTTTCTATAAATAAAAGTTACCCTTTCTATAAATAAAAGTTACCCTTTTTGCATAAAAGTTACCCCATAAAAAACATAAAAATAAACCTTTTAATTACTTTATGTATTCACATACATCAGTATTCCAAAAACAACTAAAGACTTTAAACTAAGTTTAATTACATCATTAAACTTAATGTATGCACATACATTAAGTTTTTTCATTGTTAAAAAAACCAACTAATCAGCTAACAACTATCAATTATTTCACTATTTAGAAGGAGTAAACTTTTTTGCCTGCTTTTTTGCCCTTTTTCCTTTGTTCTTTTCCTCTTCTCCCTCTGCCTTTGCTTCTGCTTCTGCTGCCATTTTTCTTTCTTCTGTTTCTCTCTTCTTCTTTGCAGCAATTGCAGCCTTTAATCTTTCTTCAATTCCATTGACATAAGCAGGATCTTTCTTCTTCTCATTGAACTTGTGTAATTCTGACAACACATCGTTCCTAGATTCATTCAAATCACATAGTACCAGTGTGGTACAGATCTCTCCTCGTAAAAATTTCCTTCCATTAATCTCAAAACAGCAAAAAAAATAAAAATTATCAATATGTAATTAATAAAAGCATTAGAAAGGAAAAAACTACATAAACTATATAGATAATTACTGTTTTGAGATCATTTAATTTGAACGATTCACCAACAAAATGGAGCATGTGATACATGACAAAGACCCCACAGTCCAAATTGTCAACTTTTTCTTTTCTCCATTCCAACTCAACAACTTCAAAACCATAAGAAGGTAGCTGAGAACTCTTTGGATGATTTCTTTTGCCAAGAAAAGCACCCATTTGAACACACTGACATAAAATATAAAAGTTTAGAATACATTAAAATCAAAAAAGTTAAAATGGAAATAATGAATCAACAGTAACATAACAAAAAAAACAAACATAAACATACCATCTTTGAACACAATTCTTTTGTATAAACAAGAGCAGAATCAGTCCAGATAATGTTGTCAAGATAATATACCAACTCTTTTGTATGATCAATAACATACAAAATGTAGTGATTCTCAATAAGAACAGGAAAATAGATCTGAAACAGTAAAATTAAAGAGATTTAAACAGAGCATATCATAAAGAGAACTCTTTTAAATTTATTACATTAAGTTTAGAATAAAAATACCAGATCAGCATCCATTATATTACATTCTGGATTCTCATAACTAACCCAACCTTCCCATATGTCGTGCAAATCCTTAACAACACTAGATATGTTACCTTTGCCAATATTGTCACAAACATGCAAGAATGAAAACTATTAAAGTATAAGATCTCAATAATATATATATAAAGTAAATGTGTTAAGATATAAAAAAAAGGAATGAAATAACTTACACTCTGCCTAACACCGAAGAAGAATTTTCGAGGACCAGTAGCCTGAAAACATGCTTTCTCATTCAAATACAGACAGAAGCAATCAATAACGCACCATCGAATCCTGAGTGGAGCAACAAGGGACACCATGTCTTCTCTTGGAATTAAAAAGTTCATTCCAAAAGTAACAAGGCTCTCACTAAAACAATAAAAAAATAAGATCAGCATTAAAAAAAATATATAAGAAAAAAAACAGATAAAAAAATAATTATAATAAAAAAGGACACTTAACTTCCTATCCATTGAAACATCCTTCAGCAAACAATAATCGAGAATTTCCAAATGTAACTGAGGCAAATTCTTGAAAATCCGAGCATTTCTCTTTACAAAAAGAGTTACAAAAGGCACCTGTACACCTACATGTCCACAGTCCAGAGAGCATAGAGATTTATTTGCTCTGAGTCGAGGAGGTTCATTTTGATCAATATGCCCGACAGGAATATTTTGAGTAGGACCAGGAATGATAGCAGAAGGTCCAGAACCATTAAGGCCTTCATTAACTATTTTTCCATGACCATTGTCATCATCCTTAGGAATATTTTCATTGAAACCTTGTGCAGGTTCTTTTTCAGGAACAAAATCTTTGTTACCTTCTGTAGGTTCATAAAAACCGCGAAACATATCATGTACAGACTTCATTTTATTACACTCATCAATTAAACCATCTAAAATCTTCAAATAATGAGGATTAGAGAGTAGCAGTTCAGTTTGAGAAACTGAAACAAAATCATCAGAAGATAATGAAACACTTCTGCGAGAAGTAATCAAATCATTCAAGGTTTGAAAACCAGTTGACTGAACAAATAATAAAACATCTATATTTCTTTTAAACAAAAGAAACGTTTCATGAACAACCTACAAACATATGAACAATGAAAAAAAAATGTTACAAATAAAAATAATAAAATAAGTAGGAAATCTAAATATATGCTAAAAGTGACCCTTTTAAATGCATAAACTGACCCTTTTAAATGAAAAAAGTTACCCTTTTGTATGAATAAAGTAACCCTTTTAACTTAATATTGAAGATAACTTTAATGCATATAAAGGGTAACTTCGGTGCAAATAAAGGGTAACTTTGGTACACAAAAAGGGTAACTTTTGTACACAAAAGGGTAACTATTGTACACAAAAGGGTAACTATTGTACACAAAAGGGTAACTATTGTACACAAAAGGGTAACTTTTGAACACAAAAAAGGGTAACTTTTGTACACAAAAAGGGTAACTTTTGTACACAAAAAGGATAACTTTTGTAAACAAAAAGCAATAATAACTAAACATATAAGAAAACAGAACACTTACATCAGTTGAAATTTTTTTAATTTCTTCATCGGTCATAATACCTTCTGGAAGCTCAAATGCAACAATGCGACCAGTGGTACCACTTGTAGAAGGACCCTTATCATAACCCAAAGTAGGAGCTGGCTTAAAAATAGTTCCCCTAAAATTAAGTTGTGACACAGGATATGTAATAGTATCCAATGGTCCCTGCCCATAACCACCAGCTTTGATCTCTAACTTAATTCGCTTCTTAATCTTTACATCCGTCCAATGTTGAATTAAAGGAAGAGTACTACTTTCCTTTTCACCTTGAAAATTTAGACGATGAAAATACATAATTTGCAAAGCCAACAAACAACCACTAACATTTTGAGCATTTTCATCATCCTTATACTTCTGAACAGCCTTCTTTAACTTTTTTAAAACATATGAACACCAATCAAAAGTTTTAATTTCATCAACTTTTTCAACAGCTTTCAGCAACTTCAATGAAACAGTCCTATTAGTAGTAGGAGCTAAAAAGCTAGACATAGCTTGAAGAACAAAACACCTCTTAAATTCTTCCCCTCCATCAACCAAATCAACCATCCTAGACTCCAATTTTGACAAATGAAGAGGTTGCTTACCAGAAAGACCATAATCAGATCTCCATGCCTGAATGATACGTTTATCTACACTTTCATCTTCAGAATTTTTATTAAGTTTAGGAACACAAATATCACTCAAAGGCAAGCAAAACACATCGCATATATCATTTCTAGTAACAACAAATTCTTTACCAGTAGCGATGGTAAACATGCAGCTACCAGCATTAAAGTTTTCAACAAGCCAAGGTAGCATTTGACGATTAAGAGTTTTCAATTTAAGATGTAATAAACCTCCAAAACCAATTTCTTCAACAACCTGTTTTTGCTCAGGACTAAAGTTCTGCAGCAATATTTCCAATGAATAGGGTCTACATATCGCAATGATACTTCTTTGCTCCCTAAATAGAAAAAAAAGAAAGAAAATGTAACTAAAACAATATAAAATAAAAACAAAATATAATTAAAAATGTAATAAAAAAATATGTATACTTACACAAAAGATTCAGAATCAGATTCAGAAAGCATTTCATAATCAGAATCTTCCACTGTATTAGCTTTCTTAGGTACAATTTTGGCCTTCTTAGGAACTATTTTGGCCTTCTCAGACTCTGGTTTGTCACTCTCAGGAATTTTCCCAGCCTTTTTAGATACTGCTTTGCTCTTCTCAGGAGCTATCTGGGTCTTTTTTGGTACTGGTTTAGGCTTAGCAGGCTCTTTAGGCTTTCCTTTTCCTTTTGTAGGCTTTTTATAACGATAACCACCTATTGAACCAC